GAGAGGTGGTACCTTTGTCTAAAGAAGGGGAGCCGAGTATGGTGAACTTGGAGACAGTAACGATGGGTGCAATGGACACAGTCCCACACGGTGATGGGCTTTTACTAGGTGACCAAGGGACGAGGCATGTACTGTCAGAGGATCTAGTTACCTCAGGGGTGATAAAGCACGACGCGACATCTTTGACAACAAGGATTGCAAACACATATAATAGAAGGAACTCTAAGTCAATGAAGGTAAGTGACTTGGGGACGGAAAAAGCACTGGTGTTGTGGGTAGATGAAGCCAAGAAGGGAGAAATAGAAAGTGATGTTATACAGGTGGAGGAAATAGGGGAATTGATTGGATTCGAAGCCGAACACCCACCTTCAAACTGGGTTCTACAGAAAATTCAAGATTTCAATAAGTTAATGGGCGTGTCTTGTGATGGATATAAAAACAGATTACTACAATTATTTGAGGATTTGGAGGCCAATAGGGGGCAAGAGATGAGTAAACAAGAAGGTAAATTAAGAAGAAAGGGCGATCGTGAACTTAAGAGGCTCGAACGGTCAGTTAATTATGATGGCAAGGGTGGTGAGTCCAAGCATGGAGTACTGGGGAGGGATGCGGGACTGTTAAAATGATACCACAAATCATTAGCTGGAATGTAAGGGGACTTAATGAAGTTGGGAAAATGATGGGTGTTCGACATCTGCTAAGGGGCTGGGGAGCGGATCTTGTATGCTTACAAGAAATCAAAATGGAGGTCATCTCGAGGGCGGTGGTCAGTAGCTTATGGGGGGGACAGCATGTAGGATATCAGTTTATGGGATCATCAGGGGTTTCTGGAGCCATATTAGTCATGTGGGACACCAGAGTCCTTGAGATGGAGGAGGTGAGTGTAGGGTTGTTCTCAATATCGATGTCGTTCAGAAACATTGGGGATGGATTTCAGTGAATGTTCATAGGTGTTTATGGGCCTAATACTGATGACAGTAGACGGGGCTTGTGGGATGAACTGGCTGGAATGATGGCTTGGTGGAATCTACCAACGTGTATAGGAGGTGACTTTAAAGTGTTCGATTTCCTATTGAGAGGTCGAGCGGTGGGAGACTCACGAGGGCTATGGAGGAGTTTTCAGACTTTATAAGGGAGAATATGTTGGTAGATTTGCCTATGATTAGAGGAGATTTTACCCGGTCATCTGATCGGGACCAACTTGTTCTTTCCCGTATAGACAGGTTCTTGATATGCGGAAAGTGGAGGCTAAATATTCATGTCATTCAGAGAAGATTGGGGGGTGTACTCTGATCATTTCCCCATTATGTTAACTGGGAACAGGACGGGTGGAGGACGAAGGCCTTTTAGGTTCGAGAAAATGTGGTTGAAAGTCGAAGGTTTTAGGGAGCAAGTACAGACTTGGTGGACATCTTACGATGTCAGGGGGTCTCCTAGTTTTGTGTTGGATCAGAAGTTGAAGTCTTTGAAAAGGGATTTAAAGAAATGGAATGAGGAGGTTGTGGGCAATGTGAACT